TGGTGCGCCACCACCGGCAGCTGGTAGCACGCCCAAGGCTTCTTGCAAAGACAAGTCTCTCGCTGCCTCGAGGATGTCATCCTCTGGGCAATCCTTCCTGTGCAGCTCGCCCTTCGACTCAGCTGTCGTCAGGAGGTAATCCTTCGCCTCGGCGTCTGAACCACAGAGAATGTCGCGGGCGTGAGCTGCAGCTGTCCTGATCTCTCCAGCATCGCCGTCCTCGAAGATCGGCAGCTCCTCGATCTCTGCGGGGTCTTCGACGCCCTCCTCGATGTCACGCATCTCTTGAAGCGTTTCCTTCGCATCTTCGTCTATCTCATATTCATACTCATCTGGATCGTCGACATATCCTGCGGCCTCGGTTTCGTCTGAGCAGCTGTCGGAGTCGTCATGCTGCGGCGGTCGTCGTCCAGGGGGCGGTGGACCTTCGCCGCCATCAGGTGGTGGGCCTTTGCCTTTGCCATCGGGTCGATGACGAATGGGTCTAGGCACGTCTTTAATCTTGCAGATCAGCGTCGATTGAACTACGCCTCCAGCTTGGCCAGGCCTGCCCCACATGAGTTCGGTTAGAAGCACATCAATGTCTGCGTCCTCATCATCGCCGTGTGCACGAACATCCTCGAGCAAGTCTTCGATCACATCGACCAGGGGCTCGCTAGTCAGTGGGCTGATAAACCGCACTTCGTCGAGATTTTGATTGTCCAGCTGCACACGCCAAAACTGCGAGTAAACCTGTGGAAGCGCTCTCGCAGATGGGGAGGCAGTAGGGAGGAGGACAGGGGAGGGAGGCAGGAGTGGGGAGGGAGGGCGAGGAGGAGGAGGGAGGAGGGGGGAGGGAGGAGGGTACCCTTACAAATCCTCTTCCTCTGCAGAGGAGAGGTTGGAGATGGATGAGGGGAGGGAGGGGGGGGGTGGAGGAAAAGGAGGAAGGTTGTCTAAGTCTAAGACTGCCAGGGGCCCCGATTGGTTTGACCAGCCACCTTGGACGCCCGTAGCCAGAGCCTGCTGATTGGAGCCAAGGCCCCTGTCCCGAGGAACCATATACAATATTTCGCAGATATAACCCAAGGGAATCCTGCCTCAATAGAGTTGGTTTTGATATGTTTTAGAACAGCTGCAGCATGTGCTTGGCCAGCAGTCACCGTTCGCTTCTTGCCTGGGACATTGAGAGCTACGGCTGGGCACGGGTAACACACAGGTTTCCATCGTCGCAAGTTTCCAATTTCGACATCCGCCTCAAAACTACGCCTGAGTTGGTCAACAGCAGCTAGCGCTTCTGCAGCACGGGCAATGTCAATCTGATCTCGAAACTTCATTAGGGATTTCTTGATCGTGATGCGGCTTGAGAGAAGGCCCCACGAAATCCCAGGAGCGATGGTAGCGATGTGCTTCAGGGTGCTGTTAACTCCTCTGGGTATCTGCCCGAAGCAGGTCTGAAGTAGTTCCTCCTAGAGACCCCCCGAGACCCACTTGAGATTGGCCCCAACCCCCCAGGCCCACACATCAAGCTGGGGAGCAACTCTCCAGACCCCAGTCGAGCAAGACACAACGGCTGTTAGTGTCTGGCCGTTGTCGTCGACGTCGTCGACGTCGACGTCGACGTCATCATTGACGTCGTTGTCGACGACAATTTTGGCGAACGACGAGGACGAACGACTTCCGACTTCGACGCCGGCGACGTCGACGACGACGGCCAGACCAACAGCAGGTGGCCCCAGCGGCCCTTAGGGGCCCTTCCTTCAACCTCTTGGGTGCTCAGGCGCCAGTGCACGACGATGTCGTGGACGAGCTGCCACAGGCGCGCGCGCATGATGCCGTCAGTGCTCCAAACCTTCTCGAGCTCACGCTTAAACATGTTGCGGAATTTCAGTGCGACATCTGACCCATTGTTGCCAACCAGCTGCTCTGCAGGAAGCTTCAGCAAGTCCTCGGCGCACTGCTTGCGATATGCGCATGCTTCCTCTGGTGGCGAAAAGATCAACCAAACTATGAGATGTGGGAACGTTGTGTACTCACGTCGTAGTCGCCGATCGTACTCGCTTGCCATCTGCATACAACTAAGGACTAAATTATCGAATACCTCCGAGTTGTCAGCATCCAAGTCCAGAAGCCCAAACAGGTCGCTCCACGGCTCTTCTGTCGTCAGCATATGGTACCATGCATGTGCAATGTTGCGACCAGTTTCGCAAACGAACTCCACGACTGCAATGTCATTGTTGTGATGCTTCTGCATCCAAAAGTGGAGATGGTCCAGGGGGCCCGTAGAGACATGGCAGATAACAAGGTCGATCCAAAAAGATTTCAAACACAGCCCAGCATACGCTTCTCGGAGCCACTTGCGAGTACGGCGCGAGTATGCCTGAGCCTCCTCCTCGATGACGTCAAGCTCCCTGTCGTTCTCGTCCTCGTTGGCGTCGTCGCCCGCGTCGCCCTCTGGGAACAAGTCCTTGAAACAGAGGGGGAGCTCATCGTGGGCAGCACGTAGTAGGGTAGCCTCCACTGCATGTTTCGACCCCCACCTTCCTTTCAAAGGGCGGGGTGGCAAACGCCCTGCGACTTCTCTAGCCCTGTCGACGCCGAAATGCGTGACGTAGGACTGGTACAACTTCTTCGCATTGTTCTTCGTGCGCCAAGTATTGATGGTTTTGGCAAGGATTGACCAGTAAGCTTTGCGCCTGTTGATCTGAGATTTCACGATCAAGTGAACGATATGTTCCTTGCAAAATTCGTGGTTCGCCCACTCGTATTGTTTATCTTTGATCTCTGCCATGAGCATTCGAGAAAAAGCCTTAGGCTCACCACCTTGGTCGGTATGAAACATCCATATTCTGACATGGCAGTACTCGTATTCTCCATTCGATGCGGACTCTTCTGCAACCCTGGACCACGTAGTGTCATCCCACAAATGGATTCCAGTCTGAGATACCTGCTGCATGAAGATAGACCTCTGACCCACAGCACCTGGGGGGGGTAGCTGTCTCGACTTCTCGCTCCTCCTCATCATCCTTCTCCTCCTCCTCCTCCTCCCCTCTCTCGCCTACCTCCTCCCCCCTCCTGCCTTCCCCACTTCTCATCCTCCTCTTTCTCCCTCATCTTCCTCTGTTTGCTCACGAGCGCCTGATGCAGTCACAGGGACAAGGTCGGGCCAAATAATCTGCCCCGCATCAGCTGGGAGCTCTGGGGGGCCGCCGTCGTCGCCTGGATGAGGAACTTGGTACGGAAAATCTGCATGATGAAACATCGAACTGCATTTTAACACGTGCGCCTTTTCCTGGGGGAACTCACCAGACTCGCCCCCCCCGAGGCTGGGGAGAAACACCCCAGCTCGGCTGGGCAGAAACTCTGACCTCGCCCCCCGGGCTCCCAGGTTGGACCTCGGGGTTCCCAGGGCCCCCAGGACAGACCCCAATCCTTATTCTCCCCCGAGCTCCCAGGCTTATCATAAGCCTGGGAGCACGGGGGGTTTGGCTTATGAGAGGAGGGGGAGGGGGACACAGAACCCAAAGCGAGCATTTTACACTGGTCTCCTGGTGGACAACCGCGGTGTTCGTGGCGTCTCCAGATACCGAACATATCTCATAGCTCCACAGCCTGGTAGGTTTTGCGACGATAACAGCTGGTGGAAGTGATACAAGGGAGTCGGCGAACCATTCTATATATCGGTAATGCAAGCTGTGAAAGTGTCTGACCGAGGCAATAATACAACTAGCAGTTTTCTTTTCCCAGGCAGACAAAGTTGGCCGACTTTGTTGAAGCCCCATCATGACTAGCATCCCATTGATACCACAGTGCCCAACGTTCCTCGTGATCCCCATTTTGTAGCATCCGAAAAGAGATAGCCCCCTTTTGACGCCAGCCTTGTGCCGCCGTCGTTCTCTCAATATGCCCTCGGTTGCTGTGAGGCGGAGCCGATTAATCTCATCATCCCGTTGAGACAAAATGTCTTCCAACGTTTGAATTTGTTTTTGCAAGTCTCTGGCTGTTTTCTTTCCTCTCCGTATAATCAATCGTGACGCACGTAACTTCATTTTCAATCGTGCAACTTTTCTCCTGAGCGGAGCTCCTGCAGCAGCGGTGGCATCATCAACTGGTCGTCGATCTGCAATCGGTAACGGTGCTGGTGGCGGTCGAGGTGGTGGAACCGCTATGGCATGTGCAGGAACAGGGGCACCAGCTAGCAAACCAGGACTGAGCAGATCAGGCCGCGACGGCCTGCGAGGAGAAAGTACAGGGGCCATCGCCTCGTAGGACAACCGGTCAATTTCATCCCAATCGCCTCCGTTTAAGCCGTCCACGCCGTAGTCGTGAAGCACACGTCGTAAATCATCGATAGTCTGATCATTGGTGAGGCCGCCAGGGACTGGCAATTGCAATTCCTGCAAGCATTGTCTGAAACCGTGTTGGGTGAACGACACGCGAGGCCATGCTGCCCGACGGCTTCTGAATCCATTGTGCACGACAGCCTGTCTCACGAGATCATGCAATAACATATCTCACTAAGCCAAAACGGCTATGGCCGCTGTGGTGCTGAACGGTATATATATATATGTATCATAAATTCAGCTGCGTTGGAGATCCGCCGAACCTGAGCACGCAGGCTGCATGGTCCATGAGCATATTATGTCTGAATATGATCAGATCGGTGCTTATTTCATGTACTCGGCACGTTAGGAAAAATCAACCAAACCAATGACTTACTCGGTCAACACAGTGCCGCTGTCTATTTTACAGACGCTGTACCCTTCTCATAGAAATAAGAATTCTGAATCTGATGTACAGAAACACATGAAGAAAAATTAGGAAAGCTGATCTTATGTACGGAAATCACACACGCAAAAATACAGACGCCACATCAATATACCTAAGAGAAATTAGGAAATTAATTTTTTAACAACCTCTTGGGGGGACCACTTTTTGAGCCTCCTCACTGCCTTTTTTTACCTTCACAGTGCATGTCGGGGCAGGGGCAGGGTTATGAGGGATCTGGGAGGGGGGCCCCC